GGCCTAATCCTGTTTAATGATTTAAGTCATCTGGGTGTCCCATCACTAATCAGGGGCATCCCAGTAATTTCTTGTACCTTGTACTATATTCATCTATAAATAAAGAACTGGTCGACTGGCTTGGACAGTTCGACATTTTCAGCATCTCTTCTTCTTCTCCTCTTCTCTGCTACTTCGACTACAGTGGTTCAGCTTTCAGTTGTTAACCCATTACAACCAAACACAATACAGAATTTGTCAATGCAAAACTGAATCAAGTTTGTGTTTCTATTTTTTGGCCAAATTTGCATTTACATCGACACATATGCCTTTTGGTCAACTGCTGGTGCATTCAGATTCTGTATGATATCATTTATTTATTTTTGTCTATACACATTATTAAAGGGTAAACAAGTTGGAATCTGAAAATAGTACTTAGATTATGTATATATCTTCTACTGATAAAAATGATGTATATCTTCTTCTGCAGGTGCTCGATGCATTGGTCAGTCTTTTTTGCAGGTCAGATGTATCTGCAGAGACATTGTGGGATGGTGGGTGGCTCTTTCGCCAACTGCTTCCTTATAATGAGTTAGAGTTCAGCAACCATCATCTCGACTTAATAAAAGTAAGCTATTTCCTTAACTCTTGTTTTTATTGAGTAATGAGATTGAAAGAGAAAATAATCAGTATAGTAGACCTTATTACTCTAGTTATGAAAAGGAAGAGGCAAAACAGAAAACTAAGCAGCCACAAAGAGGCTAACCACATATAAATTTTCCTTACACGAGTACTGTTAAGTCCATCCCCCTATTTGCCAGTGCAAACTTAAAAGGGTCTTATCCACCCTGTCCCTAGGCATCTGCTATTGAGTTGGCTGATCTTTGAATCCAGCTAAAATAGGTGTTCATCATTGCAGGTAGAGACCCTGCCTTCTCTGATTCAAATTTCTCAAGGACCATCAGAGAGTATTCTCATCTTCTCTTTTTGCATTGATGGATCCTGCACTTCCATTCCTTCTATAAACTAATTCTCAGTCCCTGTAACACATACAGATTTCTCTTTCAAATAAGCTGCTCAAATGAAGATTAAAAAAACCTTATGAAATCATAGAATTTATTCAAGCAAGTGTTATTTTACATAAATGTAATTATGTTGGATTGATAGAACTACTGATGTAATTTTTCAACAGTCTAAGGGTAAATTGATGAAACCTCCCCCAAAGTTTTGGACCATTGCTGAAACCTCCCCTGAAGTTTCGTATTGGCAATCACCTCCCCTTAATTTTCTAATATAGTTGCAAATAGACCCCTTCCGTTAGAACCCTTTAACAGAGACACAAAAATGTCCAAAATACCCATGGAATTACTTCTGACCAGCATATTTGTTTTTCAAATTTTCCCTTCACATCAATGGCTTCCGCAAAGGCCCCAATCCTTCCTATCTCCTTTTCAAAATTGATATATTTTTTCAAACCTGACTCTCATAGAAATTAAATCCCAAACCCTTGCCATCTCTTTTAAAACACTTAATAGTTTTTCAAATTTGTTATGTAATTTGAACTCGTACGCTTTCCCAAACCCTTGCATCAAACAAATCAAATAAAACTGTGAGGAAATATTCGTTAGACGCAAAACACCAACCATTAGTTATTTGAACTCAAAGGTAGCTGCAACTTTAAACTATTGTCTTTTTGTTATTGTTCTTAAAGTTTGTATTGTTTTCTCTGTAAAAACCAGCCTCAATAGTTTGGTTAGATAGGTGTACTTGAAAATTGCAATAGCTTTGAAAAACATAACATATTTTAATATCCCCATAGAGTTATTAATGTCTCCACTGTCGCCAAATTGGGCCCTGTGGTGATCTCCCACCTTTCTAGTGTTTGTTAATGGTCCCCAACAGTTCCCTTTGATTTGGAATCTCTTATGGCAGCATTTCGTCCACAATAGTATCTCCGGTTTCTGTACCTGAGATAGAGAAGAAAAGGAATGAAGAAGACTGCATTTCCTTTTGAGCCACTGCAACAAGGTAAAGGCAGAGTAGAATGTCTTGAGTTAGGATCTTCTGCCAACAAAACACGTTCCAACCCTCTACTAATTTGATCTAACACCATACATCTCACCATGAAACTGGGACCCACCATGTATGAGATGTGTGGTGTGAGATCTTGTTGGTAGAGGGTTAGAATGTGTGTGTTGGCAGGTGATCCGGACTCAAATGTCTTTGGTTTTCTTTTGAGGCTGCTGCAATAAGGTAAAGGCAGAATAAAAGATGGTTCTTCGACCACAAGTAATAATAGAGATACTTCTGCAAAAAAATTCCCGTCCATTAGAAAACCCCATATTTCTCATTAAAGGGTAATTTTGGTAATTAGAGAAATTTAGTTACATCAGCAGATCCATTCGTCATTTAAGGGAAATTTGTCATTTAAAAATATATAATTAATGACATTAGCAAATTCTGTTGGCTTTTAAACAGTGAACTAATGGAAGGGGTCTACTTGCAGCTATGCTAGAAAGTTTAGGGAGGTGATTGCCATTATGAAACTTCAGGGGAGGTTTCAGCAATTTACCTGATAAGTAATTTAGATGGACATGTGATCTGAGATTGATACCTGCCATTCCATATTCTTCTTCTCTCCTCTTTTTCCTTCTTTCTTATTTTCTCCTTCTATTGTTCAATTCTTCATTTTTATTTTTTTCTGTTTATTGTTCCAATGTTCCATCGTATATTGATTGTGAAGGATTGTGCTGACTGCTGATGTTGTCATTGTTGACAGCTGATGTCAGCAGGCTGTACCAGCTGCCAGAGCTCAGAAGAAGATGATCCCCCTTTTTGTTAAAGCTTGATTTTAGATGAATTTAATATCAATCTTGAAGAGTATTTAAAAACTGAACCAGAAACTGTCCTGGTTTTCTGTCCTGGTGACAGTTCACTGGTTTGATTGTCCGGGTTGAATGGATTATCCTGTTAAGGCACATCTAGCCTTATAATGTTTTAAAATGTGGAGGCGTGACGCGAGGCATTCCACTACCTAGAGGCGTGAGGCATAGTTCAGAACGCAAGAGGTGTAAGCCTCCCAAACACAAGGAGGTGTAAGCCTCCTTAAGAGGAGGGGGGATCTCATTTTTTTCTTTATTTTTAATAAAAATCTTTTATATTAAGAAGAATAAAGATGCATAACATTAGTTGAAAGGGGGGGGGAGTCTTGTCGAAGCGGAGACAAGACCCCCCTAACTCAAAAAAAAAAAAAAACAAATTGAGCTGCATCGAAAAGGGGGTGGGAGGTCTGGGGGGTCGCCCCCCAGTCGAAGGGGCATGGGGCAAACCACTTTCTTTCCCCTTATCTTTTCTTCCCTTCCCTTTCCTTTCCTTTTCTCTTTTTTTCTTTTCTTTCTTTTTCTTTCCCTTCCCTTTATTTTCCTTTCCTTTCCTTTTTTTTTTCTTTTTTTCTGTCTTTTTATATCAGATGTGCATGAGGCGCTCTGGCACTCCTCATGAAAAAAGTGTAAGAGGCGTACACCTCAGAGGTGTCAGCGCCTCTGGCATACGCCTCAGGGTGTTTTGGGAGTGCCTCGCCTGGAGGTGTGTTTCCAGGCGTATGCCTCCCACGCCTTTTAAAACACTGAGCCTTAGATAGGAATACGAGTAGGTATTTGGCCTTCAGATGGGAATATTAGATCAAGCGAACCTTATGTATCCATCTTTTATGTTTTTGTAAAATGACATGAGAATTTAAGGCTATCTAAGCATAAGTGATCTCCACCATATTTTCCCTTAGCCTTGTTTTTGGCTATCCTAGGGCTGTGCGAGATTGTTTTGGGGGCCTGGTTGATCCCTACAATTACTGCTGGTGCAGTGATTGTTTCCGTTACCTATCAATGTTGGTGGAAACAATAGCTATGTGGAAATTGACTGTTACCCATCAAGTTTGGAAACATTAGCTATGTGGAAATTGTGAGAGTTCCACTATTCAAATAACCACCATGAGGTTGGATGACAGTAACATTTTGGAATGGGCACGATTGGAAAATGATGGGAGCCCGCAGGGCCCACAACACCCTACACAGAAACAGGCCCATAAGGAGGCTGAAGGCCATGTCCGTTGCTCAGCAACAAGAGAAGGCACCCAGGTCCATTGCCCAGTTCGTTTCGTGTACAATAGGAGGCTGAAGGCCATGTCAGACTAAGCGGTTAGAATCTGCACATTTTGGAATGGGCATGATTGTTTAAGGTCTCAATAGTGGGTAAGTAGTGAGAATGGGCCAAATGGGCCCTAGTGTTCTTTATTTCTTTTAAGTAGTGTTTAAATTTTAAAAGTTATGTTTCTTAGTTATGGGCCTTATGGACCTTCTTTTATTTTCTTTAATTATCTCTTTAGTGCTGGCCGCCCCATTAAGGGCATCTAGAGAGAGAGGTTCGAAATCTTCTTTTCTTCTTCCACAACCTATTGCTGAAACTTCTTTTCTTCTTTCTCTTTCTCTCTTTTCTTCTTTTCTTGCATTATCTGAATTACTATACGTGTAATTTTCAACTTGGTATCAGAGCGGTTGATCAATCAGCTACTTATGTAGCCCAGTTAGGAGGGTTTTTGGAGAGTTTTGTGGAGGTTTTTCATCCTTAGTTGAAGCCCAAGGCAAGTTCTTGGAAATTTTTCCCGAAAACCCTAGATAACTAGAGAAACTTTGTTACAGGTCATAGAGATAGTTTGAACCAGGCGCTTGGGGATTAGAGGTAAGCCTTTTGATTTGTATTAGGGGTGGTTTTGGTTGGATTGAATTTTGGAACCTCTGGAAGGGACGGTTGAAGTTTCTCTCTTTCTCCCCATCTCGCAGGACCTTGTGAAACCCCAATTTTGGGGGGTTGAGAGGTTGTTCTTTGCTTGGAACAATAAATCTACCCTAGTAAAGCCCTAATTTGATTTTCGTCATCCATTTACTCAATGGAGCAATCTGGAGGAGAGTCAAAATATTCCACAAATTCCGGGTTTGGACATGGGGGGTCAGTGGAGAATCTATTTTGGGGTTGTGACTACTGTGAAGCTAGATGAGACCAATTATTTAGCTTGGTCTAAATCTATTAAGATACATGTGTGTAGTAGAGAAAATGGGGTTATATTACCAGGAGCAAGAAGAAGTTGGAGGAGGATGATAATACCCATGAAAGGTGGATGCAAGAAAACTACACAGTAGTGGTTTGGTTAGTGAATTCTTTGCAACCACACATTAGTCAGCATTACCTGTGGATGGAAACTGCAAATAAGTGTGGGATAATGTCATAGAGACCTATTCCCAAAAACTTAATGTTGCTCGGGCCTACAAATTGAAGCATGATGTGAATAATCTTAGACAGGGGAGAAGCCCTTGGTAGTCTACTTCTCTTTGCTGAAATCTCTTTGGAAATAGATTGATCTGATGGGGACTGTTGTTTGGGGTTGTACAGAGGATGTAGAAACATATAGGAGGTTGGTGGAGAGAAATTGGGTCTTTGAGTTCCTCACCGGACTCAACTCGGAGTATGATATCGTGAGGCATAATGTTTTAGCTAAGGATGAGGTGACTTTGTCTCGGGCATAAGCTATGGTGAGTAGTGAGGAGAGCAGAAGACAGGTTCAGTTTGTTGAGCTAT